CTGCCAGCCTGTTTGCCTCCAACTTCCCTCCTCTTCTGGTCTGGTCACCCCTAACTGCCCTCCCCTGCAGGGTTGATCGCCTCCAACTGCCCTCCCTTTTAGGCCCTGGTCCCTCCCAACTGCCCTCCCCTGCTGGTCATCTTGTGTGGCCATTTTGTGTCCACATAGGGGCAGGACTTTGACCACATGGGGGCAGCCATATTGTGTGTTGGAGTGCTGATCAATTTGCATATTACTCTTTTATTAGATAGGATAGAGGCCTGGTGCATGGGTGTGGTCCAGCTGGTTTGGCCTGAAGGGTGTCCTGGATCAGGGTTGGGGGTTTCCTTTGGGCATGGGGGCAGCCTGAGCGATGGGTCTGTGGTGGTTTGCAGGCCAGTCACGCCCCCGCCCCCCCTCCCTCTCGACCCAAGTGGAGGCCCTGGTTTCTGAGATTTATTTATCTTCTACAATTGAAACTTTGTAGCCTGGAGCAGAGCCAAGCTTCCTGTTGACTCAGTGAATGGGGCCATTTCTGTTTGGATTTGTTTAATTCTATCATTGAAACTTTGTAGCCTTGAGTGGAGTCCTAGGCTGGCAAGGGCAGGCAGAAAGCTTGGCTTCCTCTGTTGCCTGGAAAACCCAAGCCTCCCTCCTGCTCTCTGTGGCTGTAGCCATCTTGGTTGGGTTTATTTGCATACTTGCTCTGATTGTCTGGTGGGCGTGGCTGGTGGATGTAGCAGAGTGATGGTTAATTTGCATATTACTCTTTAATTAGGTAGGATTTGGTCTTTTAAAAAATATGTTTTTCTTGATTTAGAGATAAAGGAAGAGAGAGAAACATCAATGATGACAGATAATCATGGATTGGCTGCCTCCTGCATGCCCCATACTGGGGACCAAGCTTACATCGGGGGCACGTGTCCTGATCAAGAATCAAACCCTGAAATCCTGGTTCTTAAGACGGTGCTCAACTACGCCTGCTGGCCTGTAGCCAATCTTAATTATGTCTTTCAGCAAAGGTCCATAAGTGGAACTGCTTGTTTGAAAGTTTGTACATATTTTGATTGACTTTAGAGACAGGGAGGGAGGGAGAGAAATGTTGGTTTAGAATTCCACTGACTGATGCACTCATTGGTTGATTCTTGTATGTGCCCTGATCAGGGATTGAGCTCTGCAACCTGGACCTATTGGGAAGATGCTCTAACCACTTAAGTACTCTGCCAGGGTGAAAGTCTGTACACTTTAAGGCTTTCAGTAAACCCTCCACCAGCAGAGTATGGAGGTCAAGTGTCTCCATTTTCGAATATGGCATTTCCCTCTCCAATATAGCACCATTCACCTCCCCCCCCCCGGGGGAGGGGGCAGGTTCAGGCTGTGGGTCCCACCCTCATGATGCCCTCTGTTGGTTTGCAGATCCCCTGGATACCTAGCCATGGCCTTGTTCGACAAGGCCAATTGCCAGGCAGCAATGTTAGCCCTCAACATTCTGGGATGGATCTTTACCATGGTTTCCATGGGCCTGCCTAATTGGCGCACATGGTACATAGATAGAAGCCCTGCACCCCCCTGGGGGCTGGCCTGTGTAGGGATGTGGAAGGTCTGCACTTACCACCCCAATGGCCTCCAGAGCAGACCCATAGCGTGTCACCGCTACACCTACAGTGACGCCTACCTGCCATTGGATATCCTCCTCGCTCAGCACCTGCTGCTCATCGCCAGCCTCCTGGGGCTGCTGGGGAAAGGGCTCATGGTCATGGGCCTGCGGAGAGTGTATGCGGGACAGCTTCAGAAGGACACCACCTGCAATATGTTCCTCGTTTCCAAAATCCTGAGCATCATAGCTGGTGCATTTATCTTCATCGCTGTATCTGTAACTACCATGCTGTGCTCAATGAAGAGGGCATAGACTTCCCGCCCTCCTTCCACATCTCCTACAGGCCAGAATGGCAGGAGATGGGCAGCACCGTGTATCTGGCGATTCTAGCTGCATTCCTAATGCTGTTGAGTGGGCTGTTTACCATCTCTTTCCAGCTGCCCCCAAAAGCCAAATATACCCCCAAGTCTCAAAAGTGTGAAGTTCCCGGTTGCAAAGGTTTGCAAATCCACGATGAGCAGTTTATGAGGGTGAAGTAACTATGAAATAGAGCCAAGGACTCATGACCATGGCAAAGGTCATCTTTTGCAGCAAGTGGCCATATTCTGTTTTGTACAAATTGGGCTCATCAATTGGTTAAGGAACTTTCATTAAAAAAAATTCCAAAGAAACCACTTTCCACTTGTCTTACTGAATCTGGTTTTTAATTATTGTTGAGTAAACTAATGAACTGGTGCACGAAATTTGTGCCCACTAAAAGGATTAATTAGAAGAAATATTTTAATATTGCTATTTGCCATTCTCTATAATAGAAGTGTCAGAGATGAAAGAAAATTAGTAAAATGTATAAGAAAATCTTCCTCCTGTCAGAGTCTGTGGCACACCACCGAACCCAGAGTCAAGTCCCTGCCACCTCTGTGGGCCTCAAAATTGTGGGAGACCCAGACCCAGCCACCCCCCCTCCCATTGGGCTAGATCCAGACCCAGCTGGTCCCACCTTTGTCAAGCCCTGCAGGATGGGGGAGGGGAGCACAGCATCAGGTCTCCTGGCTCAGCACCAGGTTCGGGACATGGCCTGAGGACCCCAGCCCGGGACTGAATTGGGGGTGTGTGGCATGAGGTCTCCAAGCCTGGGCCATAGCGGGGGTCATGGCCTGAGGCCCCCAGCCTTGGCCTGGGCGGGGTGTGTGGCCTGAAGTCTCCCAGTGTGGGCAAGGGTGGGGCATGACCTGAGGTCTCCCAGCCTGAGCCAGGTGGGGGGCTCAGTCTGAGGTCCCCTGTCAAGCTCCGCCAGTCAGTCATGTGGCCTGAGGTCCCCCTTCAAGCCCTGCTGGATGGGGGATATGGCCTGAGGCCCCCCGGCTTGGTGCCAGGGTTGGGGGCATGGGCTGAAGCCCCCTGTCCAGCCCCACAGGGGCACAGCCTCAGGTCTTGCTGATTGCTCGTTAAGGCTCTTTACGGGAACTCGGCCTATGCTGTGGGCACAGCCATCTTGTGTACAGAAACCCTGCCTCCACTGTGGGTGCTGCCTTTGTGGTGGAGTCATGGTAAATTTGCATATTCCCTCTTTATCATATAGGATAATCAATGCTATACATCTACTGCATGGAAATGAGAGTTGCTGGGATTCTCACAGCTCCCTCTCAAACTCCCACTAAAAACAACTAGCCTGAGTTTCCAGGGCATGGCCCTAACCCCTCTCCACCACATGCACTTCCCCAAATGTGCCAAAGCAGCAGAGCGGGAGGAATCCCACTTCCATGACCACACTCAACAGTGACCACGCTTTTGCCACATTCGCTTTCTCTCTCCTTCCTTCCGTTCTTTTCCTCTAGTTTTCTTTCTCCTGAGAACTTTGATGCAAACCCCAGACGTCAGGTTCCTTCATCCCTTTGCACTTCAAGATCATTCTCTAAAAAAAGGACATTTCTTTGCAACCCACAGGTTGAGAACTGCTAACAGGGTCGCCTAAGACCCTCGGAAAACACAGATATTTACATTATGATTCATAACAGTAGCAAATTTACAGTTATGAAGCAGCAAGGAAAATAATTTTTTTGCTTGGGGCTCACCACAACATGAGGAACTGTATTAAAGGGTCGCAGCATTAAAACGGTTGAGAACCACTGCTTTAAATCAATGGTTCTCAGTGGTAGACATTTAGCAATATCTAGAGGCATTTTTTATTGTCGCAACTGGTGTGTGTGTGTGTGTGTGTGTGTGTGTGTGTGTTAATGGCATCTATGGGTAGAAGCCAGGGGTGGTGTTAAACATCCTGCCATGCATAGGGCTGCCCCTCATCACACATCTTTAGTGCCAGGGCTGAGAAACCCTGCTTCAGACCCCAGATTTCATGGTTTTGGAATGGCTTGCATTCAGGAAATAGCAAAAAAGGTCAGCGTATGCATCTTAGGCCATGAGATGGATTTCTGCAGATGAGCTTTCTGTGACTTCTCAGGGGATTGTCAGCGATGCCTCGCCTTGGAAGAATGTACGTTGCTTCTGACAGCCTTGTGAGGGCCTCCCAGGAAGGGTTCACCTCAGAGCTCTCATGACTCAGAAGCCGGAGTGGCTCAGGTGTTCAATTCTAGAAATAAATCCCTTTTTGGCTCACACTGTATTACTTGTTTAGAGTTTCACGTAGATAGCAGAGCACATGGAAATGACATGTTTGCTGTACTTTGAACACCATATGTTGAAATGGCTGCAAGAGCAGCAAGCTGTTTTCTTTTAATATATTTTTATTGATTTCAGAGAGGAAGGGAGAGAGAGATATATATAATAGAAACAGTCAATGATGAGAGAGAATCATTGATCAGCTGCTTCCTGCACACCTCATACTGGGGATGGAGCCCATAACCTAGGCATGTGTCCTTGACTGGAGTTGAAAATGGGACCCTTCGGTAAAGGCAAGGCTTCTCAGTGAGACAGATACTTTATGGAGGGTAAGGGGTGTGGGAAGTGTTTTCTGTTTTGCATGGTAAATGTAAGCTGCCTTCTCAATGCCCACGTGAGATGCAGGGGGTTTTTTGGTGGGTCACCTGCAGCTCAGGAGAGAGGACTAGCATGAAGGTGTTACGTTGGATGCATTAAGATCTACGTCAGTGGTTCCCAGCCATGATTGTATTAGATGGGGGGAGCCTTTAAGATTCCAGATGTAGCCTGGCTGGCGTGGCTTGGTGTGTGAGCATTGACCAATGAACCAAGAGGTCACTGGTTTGATTCCCAGTCAGGACACATGTCTGGGTTGTGATACCCAGTGTGGGGTGTGCAGGAGGCAGTCAATCAATGGTTCTCTATATCTATGAGCTTAGTTGTTGTTGTCTTTTAAGGTTTCACATATAAGGGAGACCATACAGTATTAGTCTTTTTCTATCTGACATATTTTACTTAACATAATGCAGTCTTCACATTTGTAGGGTAAGCCCTGAGAGTTGGGTGTTTGTGTGTTTTTTTGTTTTTTGCAGTGCAATGTCTGACTTAAACTTAGGTTGCTGAGGCATCAACTTCGAAGAATTCTATCTCATTAAACACACCAGCAGCCACATGGCTAGATTAAGAGCTAGGCTGCCTCACCCCAGGTCCTTTGTTTCAGATCTTGGTTAATTTCAATACCTTCCCATTTGGGCTACTCGCTTGTTTTCTCTTCCTATACTTTAAATTTCCACTCTGATATTTGAAACCCACCAATAAAGACTGAGCCCATGAAACCCTAAGACCCCATCTGCTAGCTATCCCAGGCCAGGCCTGCACTCTCATTTTCTCCCTCTCCCTCTCCCTCTCCCTCTCCCTCTCCCTCTCCCTCTCCCTCTCCCTCTCCCTCTCCCTCTCCCTCTCCCTCTCTCCCTCTCCCTCTCTCTCTCTCCCCCTCCCTCTCCTTCTCTCACTCTCCCTCTTTCCTTCTTCCTCTCCCTCTTTTTTCCTCCCTTCCTCCTTCCCTCCTCTCTCCCTATCTCCCTCTCTGTATATTCTTGCTGTGTGGCCCCAGGTGTGCTGTGTAATTTCCAGGTCTTGTAAGTAACAAACCTGTATTTTTTCAATGTTTCCTAATGCTTATTGCTGCAGGGTGTCTTACAGTCATAATAAGAACCACAAGGGCTGGTCCAGGCACAACATTTGGTTATTGATAGGCTTAAACCAGTACAAAACATTGTGCATCCCCCCCCCCCCCAACTTAACATCCAACTTGAGGGAAGCGGGGTGGTCCCATGGATCAGGAGTGAATTTGGTGGAATAATAGCAAGAAGACAAAGGAAGGACAATAAGAACTTGAGTAGCTAACCCTGGAATCCAGGCTGCATAAGGAAGGTGCTGAAGTCAGGAGGGTGCTGATTGCCTGGGAGAAAATCAAGGGAAGTGGAGCAATTGGAGGCAGTGCTCAAAACCTAAAATATCTCGACTTTAAGCCGTAGCCGGTTTGGCTCAGTGGGTGGAGCATCGGCCTTTGTACCAAAAAGTCCAGGGTTCCATTCTGGTGAAGGGCACGTACCTCCATTGCAGGCTCCTCCTAGGTCTGGGCCCTGGTCAGGGGTCATGCAGGAGGCAATCAATGTGTTTCTTTCACATTGATGTTTTTCTCTGTCTTTCCTTCACTCTTCCACTTTCCGTAAAAGTCAATGTGAAGATATTCTTGGGTGAGGACTAACAAAATAATAATAATAATAATAATAATAATAATAATAATAATAATAAAAAAATACCCCCCACAACAAATTAAAAAACACTCACCTTTGCATTGGGAAATGTACATACCAGCCAAACCCTTTATGTCATTCACAAATTATTTATGCAAATTTTATTGTTTTAAGCTAATGCTTGGCAGAATCAGCAGCCTTTAAAAACACTTTTCTTGCTAGAACCAAGTTTTCTTGAATTGTGATTGTGTTTGTATATTTTGTTGCTATATCTATAGATAACATTCTTCCTTAAAGATTATTTATTACTAAAGGCCTAGTGCACAGATTCATGCACCAGTGGGGTCCCTCGGCCTGGCCTGCACCCTCTTCCAATTGGGGATCCCTTGGGTGATATCAGAGAGCCAGTTTTGGCCCAATCCCCATAGGCCAGGCTGCGGGATCTGACCCCACAACTGCACAAATCTCTGCTGGTTTTGGCCTGATCCCCAGAGTCTAGGCCAAAGATCCCCACCAGGGCACGAATCCATGCACCAGGCCTCTATTATGAATATGAGATCTTTGTTTAATCTCTTCCTGCCCTTCCTCCTCTCCCTTTCCATCTGAGATTCATCAGTCTGTTCCATATTCCATGCCTGTGTGTTGAGCGTCTGCCCCATGGTGGTTAGTGAGCGTCATAGCTACTGTTGAATGGTCTAAAGATCACTTAGGCATATATATATATATATATATATATATATATATATATATATATATTCATCTGTAGAAGTGTCCACTTGGAAGCAGCCAGGGATCCAAGGCAGAGGTCAGCAAACTGTATGTACAGGGCCAGAGAGAGTAAATACTTTTGATTTTGCAGGCCAGAAAGTCTCTGCAATAGCCACTTGACCTTGGCTTTGTAGGCCCAAAGCAGACATAGATAACACATGAATGAATTGTGGCCCTGTTCTAATAAAACTTTACAAAAGCACAGGCTATAGTTTGCTGATACCTGCTCTAACTTAAAAAAAAGACTCCAGCCCTAGCTTGTTTGGCTCAGTGAATAGAGCATCAGCTTGCAGACTAAAGGATCCTGGATTTG